AAAAAAAAAAAAAAAAAAAAAAGAAAGAAAAGAAAAGACTGAAGCAGAGTGGCCCCTAGTGGAGAGAATGAGCCCCTGCACTCCAAAAATGTGGGACAAAGCCCAGAAGACCAGCCTAGGCAACTTAGCAAGACTTTGACTCTACACACACACACACAAAATTACCTGGGCCTGGTAACCAACACCTGTAGTCCCAACTACTTGGGAGGCTGGGCGGAAGGATCACCTGAACCCACGAAATTGAAGATGTGGTGAGCCGTGATCATGTCACTGCACTCCGGCGAAAGTGAGAACTAAAAAAAAAAAAAAACCACCAAAAAACAAAAAACAAAACCCAACCCCTCCCCACCAAAAAACCCCCCAAAACAACCAAACAAAACACGGGACCAAAACTCTCTTCTTTTATATTCATTTATTTATTCAAAAGCAGTGAGCACATACATATTCTGTGCTAAGGGGGAATACTGAGTGAGGCCTTGGAGAACAGAGAATACAGGACTTAATCCCCATTCTAAGGATTCACAACCTAGGGGGAGGGTGGGAAAGGGGGATGGGATGGAAGACCACCTGAGGTACAATGTGCACTAGTGGGGGGTGCCAGGTACACTTCTTCACCACTGTACATTTGTACATTTTGGGAGGCCGAGGTGAGATGATTGCCTGAGCCCACGGGTTCAAGACCAGCCTGGGCAATTTAGTACACACCATTTGTACATCTGAAGCTATTGAAATATAGAAAAAAAAAAGAAATTCCAGGCCGGGCTTGGTGGCTCAGCCTGTGATCCCAGCATGTTGGGGGCCCGCGGGTTCGAGACCCGCCTGGGCAACTTGGCGAGACCTCATCTCAACTCTAAATCAAAAAATTAGCCGGGTATGGTAGTGCGTGCCTGTAGTTCCAGCTACTTGGAAAGGCTGAGGTGGAAGGATCGCCGGAGCCCAGCAGGTCAAGGCTGCGGTGGCCAGAAGTGGCCACTTCAGTCTGGGCGACAGAGTGAGACTCCAACTCAAAAAAATAATAATAATAAAGTTTCCCTCAGCAGCACTGGGGAGTGGGAGACCAGTTAGAAGACTGATGCACTTGTTAGGAGGCTGGGGAGCGTGCTAAGGATTCAATGACAATCAGATATGTGCAGTGAGAGAGTGCTAAGAGGTCAAAGACTCCCTGGTTTCTGGGCAACTGGCTGAATATGGGTTGCAGTTCATGAGTCAGAGAATCTGTGAGGTGGAAGTGATGTTGGGGTGTGTGGGGTGTAGTTGGTCCGTGGGCCTTGACTTTGCAAGAAAGAATTCAAGAGTGAGTCACAGAATCAAAGTATAGTTTATTATAGAGTAGAAAACACATTCAAGGGAGAACGCAGGTGTCTTAGAAAGATACACACTTCCCATTAACAAGAAGCTTTATATACAAGTCTGCAATGATGATTAAACAAATTATTCCATAAGCTGAGTGGAGGCTGCAGGTATCTGATCACAAGTTTTGATAACTCTTAACCTTTTAAGTTTACACGCGTCACAAGGTTATGAGGACCCTCTAAATAATGGAAAGTTACCGCCTAACTAGACATAGGCTTTCCTTAGAAAGCGACAGAGACTCCAGCTCAAAAAAAAAAAAAAAGACTGGGGGAAGGATCGGGATCGCCTGAGCCCAGCAGGACGAGGCTGCGGTGTGTTCCATTGCACTCCAGCCTGGGCGACAGAACGAGACTCCAACTTAAAAAAAAAAAATGTTAAACGTAGGCTGTCCATAATTACCTACCTCATATCTGGTCCACCCTGAACCAAAATATTGCTACTTTTGGTTAAGCTCTGAAAACTTGAGTACTGAGTTAAACTTTCCATTCTCAGCCTTGAACATACAAAACCAACATTTACAGTAGCTATGTATTTAACATTATAAACAACCGTCACTTACCCAATGGTTGCTATTTGTCGAGCCATATCTAGATTATCCGCATCTAATTTTCTTTTTTTGAGTCGGAGTCTCACTCCGTTGCCCAGGCGGGAATGCAGTGGCATGCTCATGGCCACCCCAGCATCGACCTGCCGGGCTCCAGTGATCCTTCTGCCTCAGCCTTCCAAATAGCCAAAGCTACAGTCACGCGCTACCATGTCCAGCTAATTTAAAAAAAAATTTATTGTAGAGATGAGGTCTTGCTGCCCAGGCGGGTCTCGAACCCGCGGGTTCAGGCAATCTGCTCACCTCAGCCTCCCATAGCGCGGGATTACAGGCTGAGCCACCGAGCCCGGCTGTATCTAATTTTCAATAAGGCCTAAGGGCTGTATATAATATCTATTTTACAAATAAGAACACTATAGCTCAGATAATCTGAGTGATTTGCCTAAAGTCACACTGTGGAGCCTGGACCAAATCTAATCACCTTACTGGTTTAATTCTAAACTCTATACTTTTAAGCAGCTGGCTACACCACGCAAAGGAGAGCAGCAAACCTCCTCGCGGAAAAACGGAAAACGGAAAACAGACAACCGCGAGAGGAACCGGAAAAAAAACGAAGATGGCGGCTTCCTGTAGGGCGCTGTCTCCTTACGTCATCACGCTGCGCGGCCGCTCTTCTACACCACGTGCTAAGAGAGCAGGCTGGCCGATGGCGGGGTCTCCAGTGGGGGGCGTGCTCTGTTCCTCCATGGCGCAAGATGGCGCTGCCCTTTGCACGTTCTTTGCGCTTGTGCCGCTGGGGAGCCAAACGATTGGGGGTTGCCGTCACAGAGGTCCGGAGAGGTAGGGTTATCTCTTTTTACTCTCTTTTTACCTCCAAAATGGTTTCCGTCTATTATTCCGAAGCCTGCTCCGAGAAACAACTCCAACCCTCTCGAGTCATTTCCCTTCCCCCATCTGCATCGGTCTCGAGGTCCTAAACCCGTGACACCATCTGGTTTCTTTGAGTCCCGGGGATTCCCTAATCCGAGCTTTTCGGCTCCTCGGGGTGTCCATACTAAAGCAACCCCCCGACTCTTGCCCGCCTGGAATTCTGACTCTTCCTTATTCCCTCATGTCTCGTGACTGCCAGTTTCTCATCGGAATGTACCACCAGCCCTGGAGTTTTAGCCCCTGTTATGATCCCGTGTGTTGTTCTGTCCGCAGGCGTCAGTTTCAAACTGGAAGAAAAAACTGCCCACAGCAGCCTGGCGCTCTTCAGAGGTGACACGGGTGTCAAATATGGCTTGGTGGGATTGGAGCCCACCAAGGTGGCCCTCAATGTGGAGCGCTTCCGGGAGTGGGCAGTTGTGCTGGCAGACACAGCGGTCACCAGTGGCAGACATTACTGGGAGGTGACAGTGAAGCGCTCCCAACAGTTCCGGATAGGAGTGGCAGATGTGGACATGTCTCGGGATAGCTGCATTGGTGTTGATGATCGTTCCTGGGTGTTCAGCTATGCCCAGCGCAAGTGGCACACCATGTTGGCCAATGAGAAAGCCCCAATTGAAGGTATTGGGCAGCCAGAGAAGGTGGGGCTGCTGCTGGAGTATGAGGCCCAGAAGCTGAGCCTGGTGGATGTGGGCCAGGTCTTTGTGATCCACACGCTACAGACAGATTTCCGAGGTCCAGTGGTGCCTGCCTTTGCTCTTTGGGATGGAGAGCTACTGACCCACTCAGGGCTTGAGGTCCCCAAGGGCCTCTAACATGTCCATTACTGAAGTCCCTAATCAGCTCTTGGCCAGCCTTTTGAAAGTGTTGGAAGCCTTTTTGACCCAAGCAATATCTGTCTCCCACAGTTCAGTGTTGGGTCCTCTGTGCAACATCTTAGTCATCCTCTTGTCTCCCCTACCCCGTGAAAGGTAGGCAACAGCCAAACCCCACCTCCCTGCCCCCCCAACTACTGCCGGTTTTCTGGGCTACCGTGTATTTTTCCAGACTTGCTTCCTTCAGTCCCTTTGTCTCCCTGTGCCCAGGCCTTTCTCAGGCCTGTATTCGGTACAGGGGTCTTATCTTTAGTTTAGTTTGAATTTACTCATCACGGTGATACTTCTCCCTCCCTTTGCCTACATGTAACTTGTTCTTGGGGCTTTACCAAATCTCTTCAGAGTGAACCCTTTCTACCTCTGGCTGAAGGAGTGGTGCAATTACTGGCCCTTTCTCTACAGCACATAGAGTCTGGGCTCTGGCTCCCTCAGTAAGTGCTTTATTGACTTTGTGTCAGAATGAAAATACCCCTCCTTCCCCAGTACCTCAGTGCCACAGACCCTCAGCCCCACGTGGCTGCAGCTGTTCTTACCTTTGAGTCCATCTACCTTATACCTGACTCCCAGCCAGTATGTCATAACCATTATCACGAAGGGAAAGATACACTTGGGGGATATCTAGGGGAGTTGTGCTAGAAACTGTTTATTTTTGAGAAGTTCCATCTTCCTTTCTGCTCTGGTTGGAACTTCCAGAGGAGGGAGGGAGGCCTGAGGTTTTGCACAATCCATTTTGGGTCTCTTTAGATTCAAATCTCTACTCCCCTTGTTGGCAGAATACATTTAACCTAAAGCAGTATTTGGGGTTGAGAAAAACCTGGCAGGGTAAGTGAGTAAGTTTGTGAAATATGTATTATGTGGGCTCTGTCTGACCCAGTGGTTCCATCTTACTCTACCTTCTGTGGTGGTGATGAAGCTGGATAGCCCTAGGGGAGAGAGGAGGACTGGGTTTAGCAAAATTGATTTGTGTAATTAAAGTTTATTTGAACACAAAATACTTTCTCTGTCTATAAAATTGCTGTTAGCAGTTGCAGCAGCATGTCCTGGCCAAGGGAAGCAGACTACTAAGCCAGGTGTATAGGCCCCCCTTTCCCTTACTCTAGATATATCTATGTGCATGGTAGCTAAAGCCCCTCCACCAGAGTATCTCTCATGAAGGTTTCTTCAGGGAGAGGAAGAGGAGACCTGGGTGAAGACTTGGGATGGTTTTGAGTGGGCCAAGCCATTCAGTTGTACCTCGAAGAAGCCCAAGGTCTCAGTGTACAGCTCTACTGCATGTGTCCATTGAGGCCCTTCTTATACTCTGTGCTGAGGGAATGGGGTATTTTGACTCTCATAGAAAGCACTGGCTCAAGTCACCAAATGACTTTCTTGGTCCCCACTGAAGAAGTAGCTCTCCATAGCATTTTTGGTGCTTATGAGTTAAGTGTGTGGCCAGCTCATGCTTTTTCTTGAGCAGGGACTGTCCGTGACCTGCATTCACACCATACTCTCTAAGTTCTCTTTGGACAGGGACTCAGCTGCAGCCTCAGCCTGAGTCTCCGAGAGTGTGAAGGAGTCCTGGTAATCTTGAAGCAACTTAACCACCTCTAGGTGGTTGAACTGCACAGCATCGTCCAGGGGAATGTTGCCCCACCTGAGAGGAATAATGATATGATCAGGCAAAAAAGACATGAAGATTACAGAGGTTGTATACATGTGCATGTATGGTGGCTGGAGTGCCCATGGTAGAGAAGCTATGTCCACCCACCCCCATTTTAGCTTAATCTTCACCTGTCCTTGACAAAAGGATTCACTTTGCAAGCCTCAATCAGGAATTTAACGACTTCGATGTGTCCTAGGAATACAGGAAAAAGGAAAATGAGAAGGTATAGGTCCTGAACACTTTGGTGCACACCCTTGGCCACTGAAGTCTGTATCAAGAGGGGAGGTAGAAAGACCTGTTCCCATTTTGCTGTCTGCAGAACTAAGTCTGGCTGCAAACTGAAAGGCATCTGGACAAAATTAGTTGCAGCCCGGGTGACCTTGAGGACACACATAATGGGGATACTCTTGATAAGAGAGGGTCTTATGATCTGCTTCCCCTCTTTAACCCTTCAGATACCTTCAGCTGCAGCAATATGCAGAGCTGTGCGGGAGTCATAGTCTTTCTGTTCCATATCCATGGCTGACAAGGCAAACCTGAGGGTTGTAGAAAGCGGCTAGTGTTACCTAGATCAGTCTGGAATCTCTAGTATCCTTTCTGAAGTGAGGTTGGACTGGATGAGTTCCAAACAAAGTAAAGCAGAGCTTTGCTAAGGTCTGTAGGCTCTGAATAATGTGTTCTATACCCAGATGAGGTTGTTATTCCCATATCAGAGAGATGGAAGTGTGATGCTTCCAGAAACATCACTGCCTACCTGTGGTAGGTGCCCATTTGAGGCAGGGTCCCCACCTCATATGACTCTGTGTTTAACACCCAACTTAACAAGATGGCCACCATTCATTTATTATATGGTAAGCAATTTATGTTTTAAAAAATCTCATTTAAATACAATCTAAATCCATTCTAACTCCAAAGCTGAAGCACTTAACTATTTTGCTATGCTGTTTCCTAATAAGATCTCTGACCAGGAGTATTTCATTGTGTATATCTGGTCACAATGGACTTACCTTCGAAGAGCTGAGACATCTCCGCTATAGGCGGCAAATAGCAGGTTTACCACAGTCTTATTCTGGAACACAAATCGTACCCACTTGAGGTTAACTGTGGCTTTGAACCCAACCATGCCCAGCTCTGCCCTGTGAACCTCTTCCATGATGCTTAGTCAAGGGTACTGGTGAAATGTTTATGGAATCTTCTGTTCTGAAATATTCTTATAAGCCGCCTGGGGTTTTCCTTACCCGAACTTCTCCCCCTTCATGCCGTGGGTCTAACTTCCGAGCACAGTGCCGCAAGTTGTCGTAGTTGTGAAAATTGAAGAGAGACACCAACTTCTAGAATTGTAAGCCAAAGATATTGTGTATTTACTCCTTGTACTTAGTAGGAGCTCAAAATTGCTTTACCTAAAAGTGGTTACAGGATGAGTATGGAGGCTTAAGCGTGTAATCCCAGCATTTTGGGAGGACGAGGCGAGAGAATTGCCTGAGCTCAGGGGTCCAAGACCAGCCTGGGCAACTTGACTAGACCTCGTCTCTACAATAAATAAAAAATAACTAGCCAGGTGTGGTAGCATGCGCCTGTAGTTCCAGCTACTTGGTAGGCTGAGGCAAAAGGATCGCCTGAGCCCAGCAGGTAGAGGCTGCGGTGGCTGTGAGCGTGCCACTGCACTCCAGCCTGGGTGACAGAGTGAGATTCCAACTCAAAAAAAAAAAAAAGTGAGCTGGGCTTGGTGGCTCAGCCTGTAATCCTGCGCTTTGGGAGGCTGAGGTGAGTGGATTGTCTGAGCCCGCGGGTTCGAGACCCACCTGGGCAACTTGGCGAGACTTCATCTCTACAATAAATCAAAAAAATTAGCTGGGTGTGGTAATGCGCGCCTGTAGTTCCAGCTACTTGGAAGGCTGAGGCGGAAGGACCACCGGAGCCCAGCAGGTCGAGGCTGCAGTGGCTGGGAGCGGCCATTGCACTCCAGTCT